GGTTGGGGGGGGGGGGGGGGTGGAGTGTGTTGGAACGTGGTGTGGGTGTGGGTGTGGGTGTGGTGTCGGTACTGTGCGTTACCGTGCGGTGTGCCGCGAGATATGGGGACGTCCTAGCATTCCATATAAGGCAAGGATTACGGAGATAATGCGGAGCAGGAGCAGGGATACGGAGGGATCGTCGTCCGGCCCTGTCTCCGGCAGGGACGGGCGGCAAGACGTTAGTTAGGTAGTTGTTGGTGTTTAAGGGCGCACCCACTGCTGGGGCCATGCTGCGCACAACGGTGGAGCATCGGACCTGCAACAATTCTGAGGGGAATCGAATAGACGTTGCCGCACAACGTGCAAAAGTTCATGCTCTCAGGCACCGCACAATGATGCACAACGTCCGCCTGATAGCGAAGTCCACGCCGATAAAGCCGCGCTTCGCCACAGAGGTAAAAGGAAGTGTTTCACATTGATATGGGGTTTCGAACTGAAACAGCCATCTTGAAGACCCTTTGGTGCTTTTCACAATTTTGCCCTTCTTTTGAACTCAGGTCCTCTAGTTTCCGAGCTAGACGCCTGCGAAAATGGAGAAAGGTATTTCGGGAAGAATATTTCAAAGTCACCCTGGCAGCCATGTCGCCATAACGTCATTCAAATCCTGCCATTCCATGAGCTATGCGGCGATCAATACCAACAAAATATAATTGTCGAGGCGTTCACAGCTGGCGTTCGTGAGCGCAATTGCAGATATAACGGCCTTCAATTGTCTCTCAATCAATGTCGTGCAAGGTGCGATGACGTCATCAGGCCATGACGCATTGAGGACCATATTTACTAAACTCATAAAATATTTACTCATTGTGCTGTCCAGAGCAGTCTTTTCCGCTTAAAAACCACACCAACAGTTATAAGTGAGCTTGTTTCATCACACGTGATGCTCCCTTCAATATCTTTAAATGTGAAACATTCCCTGTAAGCAATACACATGTCGCACGTGCTGGGCTGCGGACCAACGGCGCACAATCGATGCACCATTCAGGAAACAATTGATTCAGCCGCGTGCATCCACACCACAAGCGCATTCCGCGTACGTAACGATCGAGCCTAACGTTCCGCGGCTGCTCCAGCGCCGCCGCCAAACGACCGACCGGGACCCGGGCGGCAGCCCCTGGGTGCCAGGGGGCGAGACCACGCGCATATCGACACAGCCCGGTGGCAGGGCAGCCGTCGGAGCGGCGGCCGGGCCACAGGCGAAGCGGTCGAACGTTGCCGGGCCCCGGCCCCGGCCCCGGCCGCTGACAGCGCGAGTCACGGGTGCCCTTGCCGTGTCACCAGCAGCAGGGTGGAGTACGCCGGGACACGGTCAGCCGCACAGGACAGTGTACCTCATGTCGAGCGGGGTGGCGTGGTGTAGTGTACCCTGTACTTAGGGTGTAACACGCCGTAGACGCTGCTGAGGTGGAGTGCAGTTGTTGGGCATGTGATGCGTGATCGTATTCGTCTGAATGTCTCTCAGCTAGCTGACGGTGCCGTGCATATCAGCGTTGCAAGACCGACAGCTACCAGCTATCGGCTCGTCAACGTTACGTGTAAAGGGCATTCAGAAGCGAGTACCTCCGTGGCGCGCCTACAACTGCGTTGCTAACGCCCGGCTCGAACGGTTGATTTTCCAAAGCAATCGCATGCAGTTCTGCGCAGAAAAGTTCGAACAATGGTGATGGACGTACAGTCAGGAATCCAAATACAAGCAGATTCTGCTGCTTGGAGGCTTTCTATGGTAACCAATTTTTCGACGACTCGTCGGAATACGACCGACGTCTTTGAAATGCCAATGGTCCTGGCGCCAAAAGCCGATGAAAAGAGCCACAGCAAGCACTACTGTCATAGCCTGAGCATGCCAGTTCACCGGCTCTGGCATGGGTGATTGCACGGTGTCAAGTTAAAATCGAGACCAGTCAATAGTGCCAGCGATGCAAGAATATGACACTGTCGCTGGCACCTGCCATGATCAAACTAAGGAATTAGAGGACAGGGAAATTACACATTAACATAATAATGCGTCGGAGAAAGGGGTCAACATACATTCAGCAGAATATACAGACATGCATAAAAGCTATTAGAACTAAGTACCTGCCGTATTTAGATATCTGCTGATTGGCCTCGTACCGTGGAGCTCACCGTAAGCTGATGTGTCTGTGGAGCGCGAGGCGGGCACAAATTGGAGCCCCCAAGGACCACAGATACAGACCGGTCTAATAATGTGGGCTGACACCGTTGAAGTGTTTAGTGCCAAAGGTACGTCCACGCCCCCCGACGTCAGGGGTTCCGCCCATGGCCAGCGCTCACCCGGCAACCCCGCTGCCAGCGGCGAGCACGCCAAGCACACTCACGGCCTTGGTGCCCAGACGCCGGAAGAGGGCGCTGCCCTCGGTCACCAGCTGGGAGAGTCGGGTGGCGCTGGGTGAGGCGGCTCCGGACCGCCGGCACGACCGATCCCCGGCCGCCGGCTCGCCGAACACGCCCTGAATTTGCTGGCGGACGGCACGGACCGCGGTCAGCGGCGCGGCACACACATGGACGGGGGGGGGGGGGGGGGGGGGGGGGCACCATCACCCGAACGTGCACGCTTCGGCCGTCGCAATGCATGAACAAACACAGAGGCGATACGGTGGGGAACGAGGCGCTCGCGTCGCTCCGCTGAGGGCGTCGGGGAACTCAGGCGGAGATGGCATAGATCACGGATGACGCGCCCGGCATGAAAACAAGGAAACCAAACAATGGCCATTCGAAGGTCAACAACGGAGACCAGGCAGACCGAAGCGAGCGATCGAGGCAGACACTGAGGCGTGAGAGAGCGTCACCGCTTCTCACGCGCCCGGGCGGCCCGGCCGTACCTCGAGCAGGTCCGAGTGATAAAGGCTGACGTTGAGTGCGGCGTCATCGGCGGCGGGCGGGGCTGGGCGGGGTGGCTGCCGCTCCTCCGCGCGCATTTCCTCCTGCGGCCCGTCGGACGGGGGTAGCAGACGGGCACCAAGGACACCAGGACCGCCCACCCCCGCGGGGTGACAGCATTGGGACATTGCTCTTTGTGCCCCCTCAGGGTTAGCAGGGTGGTATACCAGAGGCTAACCACACAACTAATTACACTGGTGACGAGAGGCCAAGTTTATTTCCGGTAGGACTAGAACAAGTCCGTCTTTTGGAACGGTTGATGACAACTCAAACAGTAAGACTGACAGCTTTAGCATCTAGCAAGCACTCCTCAAAGTGACACACAAGGAACTTAACGGAACAAATCGCTAAGGCATGCATCCCAACCGTTTTTTCCGTGCGGCCGGTTGTCCGCGCCCCCACGTACCAACTGGCCCTTGAGCGCCTCGATCTGTCGCTCCAGCTGGATCTGCTGCGAGCGCCGCTCCAGCTCAGCGTCGGCCCGTTCCTGCTCCAGTTCCGTCAGCAGCTCCTGCTTCACCCGCTGCCGCAGCTGCTCCTGCTCCTTGGCCGCCCTGGAGCGCGGACGCTATCAGGAGACGCCAACCATACGGGAAGATGTCGCGAGATCGGGAGTCGCCGAGCACGCGATGGCGTGTATGTGGAGGGCGAGAGCTCGCGGTCCAGGCCTCGGGCAGCCAGCCGCCCCGCACCACGTTGAGCCCACCTGACCCACCGCGAGCCCCTGCCGCCCCCGTTCCCCTTCTCCGAGCCCCACACCCGCGGCCCCCGGCCGCGACGCTCACCTCTCCTCGCTCTTCCTGTCGACCTCGGCCTCTGTCGCCCTCGTTCCCCTTCTCCGAGCCCCACACCCGCGCTCCTCGGCCGCGACGCTCACCTCTCCTCGCTCTTCCTGTCGACCTCGGCCTTGGCGTCGGCGAAGCCTTTGAGTCCGAGCAGCGGGTGCGCCGGCAGGTGGAGCCGGAGGAACACCTCGCCGGCCAGCACCAGTCGGTCGCCGTGCTGCAGCGTGGTAGGCGCGCGCACCTCCGCCCCGTTCAGCGTCGTGACGGAGCCGGAGCCCGGCTGCAGCGTCACGCGCGTGCCGTGACGGCTCAGTGAGCTGCGGGCGCACGGACAGTCAGGGGTCTCAGGGCGAGCGGTGGATGGCGGAGGACGCCAGTCATGGAGCTGAGGACGAACAGCGCACAGGTGAAGCTGGGAACTGACAAGGCTGCTCACTGGGAGCACAACAGCATCAAGCGCAGCAAACGTGGAGACCAGAGGCACGAACACCGACAGATGCCATACTGCAAAGCACCGTGAAAATAGAGCGGCCAATTGCTCGACGACACAGCATTCAGGCGCGGCTACCACGAATACCAGACTGAAACGGACGACAGCAGATGACCGATGTCACAACTGTGGCCCACAGGCAGCCGCCGCCCTCCCCCTCAAGCTCCTCAGCGCCACGCCACCGCCACGCGAGCCTCACCAGTGCTCCTTGTCGACGAGGAGCCCCTGCAGGCGGACGGCGGCGCCGTCTGCCGAGCCGACGGTGGCGTCGCCCTCCGGCAGCGGGTAGGCCACGGTCTCGGTCAGCGCCGGATCCGGCAGCAGGTTGACCAGCGAGGGCGTCGAGACATGGCCGGCGAACGGCACGCCGCAGGATGTTGCTGTCGCTGCCGCCGCCGGCGCCGGCCGCTGGCCCTCCGCCAGGCGCCTGCCGACGCCGAACAGCGCGTCACGCGGCGGAAGCAACGCGCCAGCGCAGAAGTCACGCAGTAGGCAGTTCAGCGGCCATTGACAGAAACGAAAAGCAGCGTCTCTTCCCACCGTGACCAGTCCTCTCCGTTCGCATCCGTATCCCAAATGTTGAGCTTGTTTACAACACCATAACTGTCCAGAAGGGTGCAGAATACATTTCTTTCGATTTTTTGTACTGTTGATAAACGTCGCCCAGTATTTCAGCTGACCTAACCCACGCAGGCCAGGCATCCGCCATCGCCAGAGACTGGCGCAATCCCGCACCACCCTCAGGTCCAGCCGCGAGTCTCCAGCGTCTGCGAGGCTCGCGCCGCTCACCGTTTGGCCTCCTCCAGCTCGTTGTTCTGGGTGTGCAGCATGATCTCCTTCTGTTGCAGCTTGCGCTTCAGCTGGGCGATGGCCAGCCGATGTCGGACGGCCGACGGCGAGTCCACTGCGTCCGCCGGCTTCCCGTCGCCGCCGCCGGGCGTCGCCACCAGCGTCTGCTCCTGCCGCAGGCGGTCCAGCTCGGCTCGCAGTTCCCTGCCAATGGGGGGCAGGGACGGCGGGTGAGGGGTGAAGGGGTGGGGGGGGGGGGATGGAGAAAGTGAGAGGGTGGTACGGGAAGGTCTCAGCGGACGCGTCGCTGCTGTCAGCGATGAGGAGCGTCGCAGGTGACAGCGACCGACCACCAGGCATGGTATCGGCACCCTCGCGACGACAATCAGGCAGAGGGTGGGCGGGCCAGGAAGGCGCGCTGTTCGTCCGCCGAGACTTAAAACAGCCGACCGCGCTGGGATGATGTTGATGGGAGCCAGACGGGTTCATCAAGGGCGGTTTTATTAGATATTTGATCACATGCGCTTCAGGAAGAGCTTTGGGACCCTCACTACAAGTTGCATAGTTAAGCTAACCATAGCTCTTGCCCAACACAGCATAATGCAAACAGCCTCACCCAACCGACCCATTCCAAGAACTCCTGCTGACCTGCAAGTCTGTTGTGCCCCAGCCGTTGTCTAACAAGTGCAAAGCGATCGTCGTCATGCCATGCGATCTGGCTACCTCGCGGGGCCTGGACAGACTGTCTTGGCAGACAGCCAACTGACCGTACCGGATGAGCCACGCAACCAGCACTGGTCCAGGACGCAAGATATCTCCCAACCCCCAAAGTACACACAACAATAACCGATTCCACCACGCTTAACATCCAAGGTGCCTTGTGTTGCACTGACCTGAAAACGAAAGGCTCGCGGATCAGGCTCAGGACATGCTGGTTACCATTTGCTATCCGGACTGGTGCCCCTGGTCACTTCAGTGACGTTTCATACAGCCCCCCTGATTGATACATGCTGGGACGGACTGTTGCCCCTGCGGTCGCCATGTGATGCCCAACGTCGCGTCTGCGGTTACCGTATGATGCGCGCGCGCGGATCCTCGTTCACGTGCACGCTGTTGACGATCTGGTTGGTCTTGCAGGCGTAGCGCAGTGTGGAGAGCGTCTCCTCCGCGTGCGCCGAGCATGGGCTGATGGTGGCCAGCATGGCCGTGCGGGAGTTGCCGCCCAGGCTCTCCTGCGGCGGGGGGGGGGGGACGGGGGTCAGGCGCGCTGAGTCCGCATCAGACGCCTGACACCGCCTAGGGAAACGGACGGCGAGACCGATCCCCTCAGGCAAAGAACACGACGCTCGTGGGTCTCATCACAGGCGCGGACAGACTGCTGCGTCTGATCACACGCAACCATTTCAAAAGGTACATACGATGATGTGTAGTATTACGGGCCCTGACCAAAGCAAGAGGCCAAGGCCCAGCCCGGTCAGCGGCCTCAGCGATCGCCCTCAGACACGTTCGCTCCGGACGGAACTCTCCGCTGCTGGGTCGTGGCAGCACACGCCCAGTGGCGCACGACCACACGGGCGCGCCAGACCGCGCGCCACCGCCCCGGCCGGCTCCGGCGTACCTTTAACAGCCAGGTGAGTGTGGACTCGCGGTAGGGGATATGCACCCGGCCGCCGTCCACCAGCGCCATGATCACCTTGCCTAGCGTCAGCAGAGACTTGTTGATGATGACACCCTCCTGCGGACCACCGACACACGGCACTGGGGTACGGCGACAACTGAGTGGTAAGCAGGGCCAGTCCAGCCGCAATGACTGTGGACGTTTGGATCAGAAGACGTTGAACTTCACCAGCGCTGCATGACCGCGTGGTACATCTCAGTTTGACCTCAGCATCGCAGACCTGACCCGGCTCGAGCTGCACGCCTGGCCATCGGCAGGACGCCAGCGGCGCGGCGCTGATATCTGTCCTGACCGCGCGCGTCTCACCTTCAGCCGCACGCCGGTGGTGTGCGCCTGGGCGACCCGCTCGCTGCCCGCCAGGTCCACCAGGTTGACCTGTGCCGTCTGCTGGCTCTCCAGCTGTTCGCCGTCCACCGTCTCCGTCTGAGGTGTGCCGACGGAGGTCAACGGAAGGTGCAGACGGATCCTGGTCATCACCACGGACCTCGCCGCCCCACGAGACGTGAGCAGGCTACGCACTGTCCACCGCTGGTGGCAGCTCCAGCATTCCAGCACAGCAGCACAGCGAGGCGAGAGGCGTGAACAAGTGGTACAGAAGTGACCAAGTGGTATGGTGGCATCAGAAACAGAGTACTGCGCGGTGAGTTCGGTATCACGGACCGTCACGGTACATGAGACTAACATGAGATGGCTGCAGAACATTGGCTAGCTGGGCCGGGGTCGCAGCTGAGACGGTTGCAGGACTAACTAGCTAGCCAGTGTCGCGGCTGACTAATCTAGCTCTGATTATATTAAATTTATTGACCTTGGTTCCGTGCTCAATACTGGCCACTGAACTGAGTTGCGACATAGCACCCGTTTCTCTGACCTGGGCGCATCCCGAGACACCGACCTCCCACTCACCAGGAACAAGCTCAAAATGCTGAACTCATTGACCTGCACACATGTCACAAAACTGAAAGCACTGGGCACGGGGCTTATCAGCTCTGCATACCAGGCCGCGGGTCGCATCAGCTGTACTGACCTGGCTGCGGACCACATCAGTTGTACTGACCTGGCTGCGGGTCACATCAGCTGTACTGCCCTGGATGCCGATCACATCAGCTGTACTGACGTGGATGCGGACCACATCAGCTGTACTGACGTGGATGCGGACCACATCAGCTGTACTGACCTGGATGCGGACCACATCAGCTGTACTGACGTGGATGCGAACCACATCAGCTGTACTGACGTGGATGCGGACCACATCAGCTGTACTGACGTGGATGCGGACCACACCAGCCGCACTGACCTGGATGCGGACCACATCAGCTGTACTGACCTGAGTGCGGGTACATCAGCTCTGCTGATCTGAGTGCGGGTCACATCAGCTGTACTCACCTGAGTGCGGGTCACATCAGCTCTACTGACCTGAGCGCGGGTCACATCAGCTGTACTGACCTGAGCGCGGGTCATATCAGCTCTACTGACCTGAGCGCGGGTCATATCAGCTCTACTGACCTGAATGCGGGTCACATCAGCTCTACTGACCTGAGCGCGGGTCATATCAGCTCTACTGACCTGAGTGCGGGTCACATCAGCTCTACTGACCTGAGTGCGGGTCACATCAGCTCTACTGACCTGAGTGCGGGTCATATCAGCTCTACTGGTCTGAGTACGGGTCACATCAGCTCTACTGACCTGAGTGCGGGTCACATCAGCTCTACTGACCTAAGTCGGGTCGGATCAGCTCTACTGACCTGAGTGCGGGTCACGGTGAGCGTCATCACCGAGTGGGAGCGCGAGCTCTTGTTGTTCATGCCCGTGGAGGCGGTCGCTCTCAGACGATTGCCCTGATCCATCAAACTCTGCGGGATCACACCGCTTACGTCATGCACGCAAAACAGAGCCACGTAAACATGTCATGCTGTACCTGAATCTACCGCAAACTTGGGATCCAGAGCAGTTTTAGTCGCATTTGGCCGTAAACTGTGCGTGGCTGGGCCGACCACGGCGCTTTAAGCCGCGCCCAAGCCAGCCATCCGCCGAAAACGCCGCCCGTCTGACCATCTCATAGCTCACACTCTCACACTCACCCTCATCAGCGGCCAACCGTCGACCTCGAGGTTGGTGAGGCCGACCACGTGCGGCCCCAGGGTGGGGTGTTCGCGCACGCGCAGCGCCGCCCGCCGGCCGTCCCAGTCGGCCAGAAGGTCGCGGATCCGCTCCTGGTAGATCTCGTAGTAGCTGACCTGCGGGCTGGCCGGCGTCAGAGGCGCGGAGAAGAGCATTCTCTTCAGCCTTCGTCCACTCTAGTCTCTATTGTCTTCCCCCATCTCGATGAAACTATTATCGGTGCGATAAGACGATCTCCAAGTGCGCGGGACAGAGTCTGGCGCCGAGCGCCGGACCACGGGCCACTGACCTGCACAGTGGTGCGAAACTCGGAGCTGTCGGCCGTCTGTTGGAAAAGGTCCACGCAGAAGCGAGGGATGACCCCAGCCAGGTCGCCGAGCTCGCCCGCGCCGTCGTCGTCCGAGCCCAGCTTACCCATCATGCTGCGCGACAAAAGACGAGCCAAGGACTTAGGACAATATTAATGGGCCAGAAAAAAACGCAACACGAATACATGTATGAGAAGCCTACAATCAGGCCATTTCATTGACATGTAGTTTTAGTTCACTCCGATGCACACTGAGCAATCTGTTTCATGCCTGAGAAATAAAGACGAAATTGAGAATGACGGCGGGCTTAGTCCTTGGGGAACGGGTGCCAGCACTGTGTGACCTAGCGGAAACCATCATGGCAAACGGCCCATACGACAAATAATATTGATGGATCGCTGAGCTGCGCATCCAAAGAACAGTACGGTCGCTCCCGGAATGGAACCATCCACCATTATTGTGGATAGCCGCACGGTCACAGCTTTCACTGATCATAAACGAGATATTCACTCGCAACATGAGTGGCAAAGACTCAGCCCGAGGGTTCAGATTCTGATCCAGTGCATGACAATGAACAACATGATTTCGGAGAATGTGTTGGAAGGTTCGCAGCTTATCCAACCCGCTTTTCAGGACTAGTGATCTCCCAATCAACCACCCTCTCAGACAAGTGCAGAACCTTGCCTGCCTCCCTGAGAGGACGACAGTTTTACGTCCCCGGCGTACGCTCGGCCTGCTTCGACTCACCTGTACGTTTTGCCACTACCAGTCTGTCCATATGCTAGAAGGCACACATTATAACCCTCGAATGTGCTCTTCAACAGGGGTGCTGCCACGCTTTCGTAAACCTGAAGGCCAGCACAAATAATTATCAGCGCGCCTTAGAAAATAACCCAGCAAAACGGCGATAGCCGGCGCCGTAGTCCAGGCATAGCGCTGCGAAAATAAAGATAAAAATCACGACGAAACATCTCAGAGAGGCCATTAGAAAACAAGGCGTTCCACAGACAAGTAAACCCCACTTCTACTAAATACATGAAGAAATATGTGACACGTCAAATCGATGCACATAAGACCCCCCCGGAGACGGCAGTCTGCGCCCGCCCGGCGGCACGGACCGCGAGCCGGCGCGCGCGGGACCAGACCGACGGCGCGCGCGCGCGCCTGCAGCCGGCACCGCACACCTGTCTCTGGTCGTGGTAGAGCGGGTCGGCCGGGTCCACCGACCAAAACACGTGGTCGTAGTAGAAGGCCTGTGACGGGTGCTGCTCGGTGTCGAGCAGCACGCACGTGGCGTCGCCAGTGACGATGCGGCTCAGCTCCGGGTCGGCGCGCTCCCTGCGCGCCGGGGCGGGTCAGCGGGGCGCGCGGCGGCCGGCTGATGGCCGCGCACGCCACGTGATCGGCGCAGAATGCGTGCTGCGCTCGTGAAACTGCCATGGTGGGGCCCGACTGAAACCTTGGGGACGGTGAGTGGCAAACTGGAATGGTGAACATCGAAATTTCTTCTTTTTTTAGATGAAACAAGGTCAACGACCTGTGATGAGCACAACTTGAGGATGAAACACATGCCACTACTTAACGTCCGTCATCACAGAACATCCCTGTTATTACGCCACATGTATTCAACATCAATTGAACGAAGTGGAAAACTGATATGCGTAAGGAGTACAGTATTCGCACGCTTGGCAGCATCTCGACATCTCCACACGTCGCAGCACTGACCAGTCTACCCCACCACTACTGGCCTGTCACTGATCAACACACCCGGCTCCCACTGACCTCTCGCTGAGCGGCCGGACGCGCACGCCGACCTTCACCGTGACGGTCTGGTCGACGAAGAGGGCTGCAAGAGGGTCAGCGCCGGAGGAGCGGCACTGGCGGACGGGCGTGGCCGGCGTGCCGCCGCCGCCCCCGGACGGCCGCCGGTCAGTCGACAGCGGCGTCCGCAGGCTGCTCCCTGAGACCAGGTCATAGCATGGTGGGTCACTAGGTGCAAGGTGCCATTGCATCATTGCAGGGTGCAAGGTACAAAGATTGTTATAATGTACAAGCTAGCTTTCGGTACTGACTCCACAACAAACTAAAAGGGAGAATACAAAACGGGCAAGACACAACTTTCTCTGGCTCTCCATCAGCTCTGTGACTGGTTGCAAAAAATAAAGGTTTGACAAAATCTACCTACTCTGTAAAGATTTTGGATTAAGACACAGAACCTTATGATCATGCTTACTCTTGGTGATCTTGACCTTGGGAGTGGTAAAAGCACTTCGGTCATGGCCATTTTCCTTTCCTTTAAATGGTGTGGCATTTGCACTCCTGGCTGATTTTGGAGGCAGCCTGTTAGATGGAGTTGCTGATTTCTTCACTGCAGACATCCTGAGGAATGTATGTGCATTATTTTGGTAGCAGCTAAGTCATTAGGTCATTCTACCCAACATTGGCCTGTTTCACAAAGGTTTAAGCCCATTTTGTATTGAGCCAAACATGTCTACAGTGATGAGAACTTAACACATTGATTCAAACATGGCAATGCATCTTCAGGCCAAGGTTGGATAGGCAGTTGCATTTGGAACATAATTGAGAGGGCCAAAACACTTGTAATGCAACTAGAAATACTGTGATGCTAAAGGTACACATTGTTTTAAGATACAATTCATAATATTTATCATAAACAGAACTAAGATAATTGCATATAAGATAACCAGGTTAGCAAATTGTTGAAACCAACTCTTGCATAGTTGCTCATCAACTTAGGTCAGAAATTTAGCAACAGATGATTTGATTCATATCCTATCAAAATCAACAGGTCTAAGCCTGCTACCTTTCATGATTTTTCTCACAACCAAAACATGTTGAAAATCACATCTACTCCCAACTCTTTATCAATCTCCAGCTTCTCCCAACAAGTCTATTTTCTTTCAACAACTAGTTAGTGCTGACTGCAGTTAAAACATTTGGGCTACAACATAGATCAAAAACACAGGTGGTAGACATTAAAACTTATGATTGGCTGTCATTCATCACTGCTGTGATCAAAAGTCAAAAGGCAACAATGGAGGACAAAATGATGATAAAAACAAACGTATTTAAATACTCCAAAGAAGTATTACAAACCTATGATCTGTGTGCACAACTCTTGAGCTTCAAGGAGAGCAGCACCGTGACATATCAGCCATTATGAAGATTTGAACAACCACGGAGCTACCTTTCTTTTAAGCGTCGGGTAATCTCGCCGAACGCTTTAACCGCCAGCTCCCACCCTCCAAAACATGAATCCACTGGGAACTGCTAGCTTCAAACACGGCGCGGCTACGCTTAGAATCGTTGTGAAAGTAAGATATTAAATTACGTCACCCATTCTTACCTGGTTCTGAGTAAGGTTAAAACATGAAAAATATGACAAAATTTAGGTATATTTTAATGTAATCATAGTATTTTGAAGCGAATGAATAACGTTCTGCTACGTATATTTAAAAACCAAGAAAGCTAAGAGCAATGACGTCATTCATAACCAAAAAACTTGTATGTTTTTTTTACAAAAACAGCGCAATAGTTACAATAGCGGTGTGTATGGTGATTGGCCCCAATGACACACGCATAAGCAAACAGGCCGTGTCATCGTGAGATGCGCGATTCCCATGTGTTTTGGTGTTGGTCAGTGGCAGAGCGTGTTGCTATTGGGGCGCCGAACGGTTTCCTCGCCACTGTAAGGTAAGCCACATGGGCCACATGATCAATATGGCTCATGTAGCTTGTGATGCAACGTGTGAGCCCCAAAACCTGTGTGCGTAACATGCAATGCTCCCTTGAGTAGTGTTTATATTGTGTCAGTGGACCATCAGCATGCAATTGATATGCCATTGGCCAATTTACAGTATTGCTATTGGACATTTTCTGCTCAGTAATATGGAGAAGCACTGGTTGCTACGTGTTGTGTGCTGCACAAGGTGGGCCATCGCACAGGTATGTCATACTTATTTGCGAAGTGAGGTGCTGTCAGATTGCATTGTTTCAGCATGCCATACACATTCTAACTAACATGGTCTTTGAATTAAAGTGCCATGAAGTGAGATGCTTTCCATTTTGAAGACAGATAAATTCCTAAGTAGTGCCAGAGCAGTCTGTGATTTTTCATCCATAGTGTCACTGTAAAATGACCAAGTTAAAGGAAGCAACACTCAGTGTTATGTAGTCAACCAGCATTGATGACATACTGGTCATATTTTTGCACAATCAATTAGGGGTGTAGGTGTACTTTCCTACCTAACATTAGAAAAAATTATTGCACAACATTCATTGTGTTTATGGCTGCACATATCGTAAATAATCTCAAAACAGGTAGAATCATGCTCCTACCCTCGAATTTCAATAACTTCGATGGCGGGCTCCCGAGCGCCGCGCGCACAGCACCGCCTGGACTCCCCAGCGCTGTTTCTGCGGTGCTGTTGCATAAATACAATATTTCTGCTTACCAAGAACTCTACAAAATGTACGGGACCAAGGTAAACCATTCGTCGTGTTTAAGATGGAACATATCATAAATAATTTCAAAACAGGTAGAATCATGCTCCTAGACTCGAGTTTTAATAAATACGATAGCGAGCTCCCGAGCGCCGCACGCACCGCACCGTACCGCCTCGACTCCCAAGCGCCGTTTTTGCGTTGTTGTGTAAGCACAATGTTTCTGCTTATCAAGAACCATAAAAAGTGTATGGGACCAAGGTAACAATAATAAAGCGACCAAAATCGTTTCTTATCGAGTTTAGGTACGTTTATGAAACGCACGGGCCAGAATAGTCCAGAACATATCCTAAACTAGCCTAACCTAACCTAACCTAACCTAACCTAACCTAACCTAACCTAACCTAACCTAACCTAACCTAACCTAACCTAACCTAACCTAACCTAACTGAGAATAGACCAGAACCTAAGCTAAGTTAAGCTAAGCTAAGCTAACCTAACCTAACCTAACCTAACCTAACCTAACCTGACCTAACTAACCTGACCTAACCTAACCTAACCTAACCTAACCTAACCTAACTTAACCTAACCTAACTGAGAATAGACCAGAACCTAAGCTTAGCTAAGCTAACCTTCCCTAACCTAACCTAACCTAACCTAACCTAACCTAACCTAACCTAACTTAACCTAACCTAACCTAACCTAACCTAACCTAACCTCCCTGCCCTATGTCCCCTTGAACCCAGCATCCCATTGGTGTCCATGTTCCATGCCGTATATAGGTGCCATAAAGTGAGCTTTTATTTAGCCACCATGTTCTTATTTTGCTTTACATTCCCCACCCAATCCCCCTGCAACCCATCCTCCCGTTGGCGTCGAGGATCAAATTTCATGGATTCTTGTTACCTTGGACCGGTGCATTTTTATGGTTCTTGATGCTGCTTGATGCGCAGTGATGTTGTGACCGCGCGCAGTAATGGCGCCGGTGTCGCGGGTGCTGTGTGTGTGCGGCGCTCGGGAGCTCGCCATCGTAATTATACAAAATTTGAAGGCAAGAGCATGAATCAACCTGTTTTGTGATTATTTATGATATGTCCTGCCTTAAACACGACGAATGGTTTACAATGATTTTTTCTAACATTAGGTAGGAAAGTACACCCTGACCCTCACCTAAGCTTGGGCCACTTGTTGAAGTCAAATTGAAAACCAATGATGCTTTTTACCTATTCTTAATTCTATCATGTTGCAATCTGCAGCTATCTCCCCCTTCAGCTTGCAAGGATTTGGTGTTTGAATAAGGACAGTGTGGTATTCAGCATGCACTGAGAATAGGTCCGATATTGATGTGGTATACAATTACCACAATGTAAACTGAAATGTGCATAGTGCTGGACATGTGGTTACTGTGTGGTGTTGTGTTGCAGGTCAAGTGCAGTCTGTGGACTGCCATCCTGTAGGTCATTGTAATGGATACCTCAGGTAAGTGTTCTGGTTGTTATTTGTATTGATGCTGAGAAGATGTGTTAACAATAAATAGCATGAATAGCATAAATAGGTAATAGCATAAATTGACGAACTGGCCAAGAATGGGCGTGGGTGCAACACTCAAAGCTGGTTTCGGGGAACGGAATCGGTACATTAGGCATCACACTTCAGTTTTTGAGTGCTCTACAATATTTGTGTACACGTAGGGTAGCATATGTCACACATAACATAGCTTCTCACTTAGTCTTATATCATTGGTAAGCTGATTTCAAGCAGAATATGACCAGTGTTAAGACAAACAGCATTCATGGCAGAAAAGCTCAATGTGAACATTATTTACCCGCTGGTTATTTAAGCAAGTCATTTCAGTTCCCAGTTCCCATACTGACCTGGAGACCATTGTCGAACTTAACCGTGTTAAGTGATCTCTTTCTAGCTTTGAAATTTCGTGGCATGCAATTTCTTGTCTCACTTACATGAGTTTGCAAGCTCCGGGATTCAGCGAGGTGCGCTCCGCATCATACAGAGGAACATGCCGAAACAATGTAAACACGGCATCGCACGTGATCTTGTTGGATAGTACGTCCGCGCCTGGTTCAGGGCGACAAAATGATGCGTGCGGCATCAAGACAAGCGCCAACCTCAAGTCATCATCCCCGGACGCGATGCTGACCAAGACTGCGCCTGTTCTCAGGTGACCTGGCTGCTCCGCTGGCGGGTGTGAAGCATGTCATCCTCGTCATGTCGGGCAAGGGCGGGGTCGGCAAGTCGACAGTGGCCACGCAGCTGGCTCTGGGTGAGTATCGCCCCACCCGCACCGTACACGTGGCAGCGGGCCGGGCTCGGGCCCTTCGGCTGGGCATCAATGTCTGGTGTACCGCGCAGGCGTGCCCAGCTGGTCACCCGCTGGTTTTGCCGAGGCTGGCTCGCAGGGGGCCTCTGTGATGTCTCGAGGCTAGCTCGCAGGGGGCCTCTGTGATGTCTCAAGGCTAGCTCGCAGGGGGCCTCTGTGATGTCTCGAGGCTAGCTCGCAGGGGGCCTCTGTGATGCTTCGAGGCTAGCTCGCAGGATGCCTCTGTGATGTCTCGAGGCTAGCTCGCAGGGGGCCTCTGTGATGTCTCGAGGCTAGCTGGCAGGGGGCCTCTGTGATGTCTCGAGGCTAGCTCGCAGGGGCCTCTGTGATGTCTAAAGGTGTGATGTGACTTGCAGACGACTTCGATAGTGTAAGGTTGATGCACATTGGTCCAACAACTGGTTGAGCGGCCGTGACCAAACGGGTCGATGAGTCGGTACAACTGTGCCAGCCATGAGCATGGGTCTATTATGCGACCGATCTCACCATTTGCACTCTTTGCTAACGGCCGATATGCACATCACTAAGATCGTGTTACACGCATACTATGCACGTATCTATCGTGCGGAAATCCCAACGATTTGGGAAGCTTCCAAGAACAGCTCCATGAAGTTGTTAACAATACACAATATTGGTTTGTCTAAGTTAATTCAAGTAAGCGGACCAAAGCCGGTATCGCCACATTGCCGACCGGAGCCGATGTCGCTACGTTGCCTCACGTCGAAGGCCGTTTGCCAATAAATCCGGTCCGTGGCGGAGAAGCGGCGCACCGTCCGCCAACTCGCACCAAAATCACCACTGTCACCGTCGTGAGAACCCCGCGATTGAAGCCTACGTGTGGGTGGTTCGCTGGTGTTATTGCCACATTGGCTGAAGTCCCTGGGTTCTCGTTGAACGTCAAAGTTTGCAGTCCAGGCCGCAAGAGGTTCCCCCACATATGATACTGCATTGCCATCAGGGTAAGGTGGGCAGTGTCTCGACTCAAGATAAATGAAAACATGAATATTTGTGCCAGAATTGCAAAATGCTGTCATCGCTCCGGTCACATAGCACCAGTCTTGGGAAATTTGAAATGGCACCGCGCTGAACACGATGTTGGGTGAAGATGAATGTCATGTTACATCGTCTGCTAAGCAGTCGGCATGTAGCTAGCAGTCGCCGGAAATGGGCTCCATGCGGAACAGATATCTCTGGTCGCGAACCCGGGGAGGTGACACTGTTCTGCAGCTGCCATACGCTCGTGCAAACATGCCAGGCGATTTCGTTTTCGTGCCGCTGCAAAATAGGGCCGGCCCGTCCCAAAATCGGTGCGGATGTCTGGTCCTCGCGCCGCGTGCAGGTGGAAAAGGTTTGATGCATACTCTTAGGACTTTCGCTAAATGACGGAGATTTTACCATGCGGATTCGTAGACTCTTGCGTGCTGTCCGCCGATTCGACTCTTGACCGAAAGAGCGATGTCAAAGGGGAACCATACCAAGTAATTGATGCCGGTTCGTTCTGATGACGTGTGACCTGCCGCAGGCATTCGCGCGGCCGGCTATCGGGTGGGCATCCTGGACATCGACCTGTGTGGCCCGAGCATCCCCCGCATGCTGGGTCTGGAGGGCAAGGACGTCCACCAGTGTCCACAGGGGTGAGTGCATACCGCCCAGCAGTGTCCACAGGGGTGAGTATGTACCGCCCAGCAGTGTCCACAGGGGTGAGTATGTACCGCCCAGCAGTGTCCACAGGGGTGAGTATGTACCGCCCAGCAGTGTCCAGAGGGGTGAGTATGTACCTCCCAGCAGTGTCCACAGGCGTGAGTATGTACCGCCCAGCAGTGTCCACAGGGGTGAGTATGTACCGCCCAGCAGTGTCCACAGGGGTGAGTATGTACCGCCCAGCATTGTCCACAGGGTGAATATGTACCGCCCAGCGGTGCCCACAGGGGTGAGTATGTACCGCCCAGCAGTGTCCACAGGGGTGAGTATGTACCGCCCAGCATTGTCCACAGGGTGAGTATGTACCGCCCAGCGGTGCCCACAGGGGTGAGTATGTACCGCCCAGCAGTGTCCACGGCGTGAGTATGTACCGCCCAGCAGTGTCCACGGGGGTGAGTATGCACCGCCCAGCATTGTCCACAGGGTGAGTATGTACCGCCCAGCAGTGTTCACAGGGGTGAGTATGTACTGCCTGGCAGTTTCCACAGGAGGAATATGTACCGCCCAGCAGTGTCCACAGGGGTGAGTATGTACCGCCCAGCAGTGTCCACAGGGGTGAGTATGTACCGCCCAGCAGTGTCCACAGGGGTGAGTATGTACCACCCACCAGTGTCCACAGGGGTGAGCATGTACTGTCACCAGTATCCACAGGGGTGAGTATGTACTGTCACCAGTGTCCACAGGGGTGAGCACGTACTGTCACCAGTGTCCACATGGTATGTACCGAGTGATATAATGTATTATGTACTGTGTGCACAGAAGTATGCACCATCTACCAGTGTCCCCATGAGTGAGCCTATGCTGGCTGCCAGCCGTCTGTACTTCGTACCATTCTCAGTAAAGGTCAGGCAGTGTTGTTGGCCAATGTCCCCAGGTTAAAGCGGCTTGCGTTACTTACTACCAATATTAAGTGTACGAGACGAGTCTGTACAATCCTTGCCTTAATGCTATGCGTTACCTGCAGGACGAGTCGAAGTAATGAGTAATTTATGGGCCTTTTATGACCGTGCAATTGAAGAGCCCGAAAGCCCCAGTTACCGCCATTAAGTGTAGTGAAGTGTCTGATGTGTTCATCTGATGAGTTTTTGCACTCTTTCGACTTTTTGCCGTGTTTGACCGGCCGTTGCTGTGCGTCCCAGCCATGTGTGACCGGCCTTTGCTGTGCGGCCCAGCTGTGTTTGACCGGCTGTTGTTGTGCGTCCCAGCCGTGTATGACCGGCCGTTGCTGTGCGGCCCAGCCGTGTTTGACCGGCTGTTGTTGTGCGACCCAGCTCTGTGCTCCCTCTGACCCCGTCGCCACCGACAGCTGGGTGCCGGTGTACGCTGACACGGAGCAGACGCTGGCCGTCATGTCCATCGGCTTTCTGCTGACGGACCGGCACGAGGCGGTGGTGTGGAGAGGGCCCAAAAAGACAGGTAATCCCGTCAGCAAACTGGTGGCTGCTCAGGTTGGTGTGTCGCGTCGGTCTCATGATAAGCTGTATGGAAGTTCACAATCTCCTGGAACTACGACCGTGCAGCAGCCCATCTTTGCATTTTACATCATCTGTCTTGATTAGTGAGGTGTGTGCAGTGGGACAGATGATACCTTGTTGACTTCAGCTCCCGACGCCGTGCTATGCACAGACTTCTTTCTTGAACTGCAAAACACGAAAAATATAGTACGATACGAGGTAGTTAAGGTAACCAATGAGGCAACACCGCCTCCAGATCGTGCGAATTCCACAGCAATCCCTTTCAAAGTCATTCTGTGCCCGTCTTAAATACCTCACGTTGGCCTGCTCTGGGGTTTCGTAATTCCAATGGGAAGTTGTTGTGTCTTGTCTCAGCAGTGACGGCCGCTATCCTGACCGGTTCTTTCGAGGTGACCGTGCTCGGTCAGACACCGTGCTGCGGAGCGTGCGGCGCGCGCGCTGCCCCGTCTCTCGCGGGCGTCCAGGCTCACACCCCTCCCCGCCGGCCGCCTTCCAGCCATGATCAAGCAGTTTGTGACGGACGTGGCGTGGCAGGACGTGGACTACCTGCTGATCGACACGCCGCCGGGCACCTCCGATGAGCACATCGCCATCCTGGAGAGCCTCAAGTGAGGGGGGACGATGGTGGTGGGCCGATCGAGCTCCCGTCCCGGCTCGAGACAGGCCGCGGTGGGGTGGCAGCCTCTCCGTGTCAGGCTGGCGCAGTGTGGCGGGCGGTATTCTTTGTGGGGGTAACGTGGTGTGTGTGTGTGGGGGGGGGGGGGGGGTGTTGGTCGTGCGTGTTACAGCAACGCCGCACGACCGTGAACCTGTCATAAGGCTGACGCAGTACGGGCGTATTTCCACGCGACGCGTTGGCATGCACTGGCCGGCGGGAGTGATCTAGCCTGGCCATGTGCGACGTGGTGATACAGCGTCACCGTGTGACGCAATGACGGAAGCTCGTCCGTAGCACGTGCCACAGTGTGGTGATGTGTTGTTCTTGTTTGACACAGTAACAGACAGACAGACAGCTCGCCCTCACCCTAGCAGAATGCTGCCGTGAGGCCCAGAATTCGCTGCAGATGCGATACAGTGACGTGCCGCTTCTTTGTAGCGCTTTTCCCGTTTGGTCTGCAGACTGCTCCGCTGTGACGGCTGTGTAGCCACGGACCCCGCCCGACTCAGTCCGGGTGATGGACGTTGACTGGAGATCTACCGTGTCCAGGTTGCTCCGCTGTGACGGCTGTGTAGCCACGGACCCCGCCCGACTCAGTCCGGGTGATGGACGTTGACTGGAGATCTACCGTGCCCAGGTCGCTCCGCTGTGACGGTTGCGTGCTGGTGACGACGCCTCAGAACCTGGCCGTGGGCGACGTGCGACGCCAGGTGACCTTCTGCCGGCGCACCGGGCTCCGGCTGCTCGGCCTGGTGGAGAACATGAGCGGCTTCGTCTGCCCCAACTGCTCGGTAGGTGGCGCCCGCCGCGGCCCTCGGCGCGCCGGCGATGTGTTCTGGTCGGCAGGAGGACGGTTAGGTGGGTGAGGGAACACGAGATGGCTGAAAGTGGGAGGTGGAGGTGACTGAGTGACGGATGGATCCGGTAAATGCAGGTGGAAGACATGTCCCATATTCCGGGCTGGCAATTTCGTATGGGATGTATTTGATAGCGGAGTGGCTATGACATATCAGGAGAGCGCAAGGATCCGCTTGAAATTACAGGCAGCTGTGTTACATATATGCTGCAAATGAGAGCTAGTATTGATGCGAAGACGTGGTGATCAGGATTGGCTCTTGTTCCCAGTGCTGGTTCCCGACAAGAATAAGTTGCAGAATCTCCCGATTTTTGCTGTTTCCGTGGACTCTTTACCGACCCTTGGGAGGTGCTGGATCCTCCTCATAATCCGAACCGGACCTGGGTTTCTGACGGATCTCTGCTCATACTCCAAGGTTGAATCTCGGTTTTCTTTCCGGACCTTGCCTCTTGCTGGACCCCTGTGCATGTTGCGGGCCGATCCCGGTTCATGCCTGGCCTCTCGGCCTAGAATCAGGCTGCAACTCGACTCTTGTTGATTCTCTCGACGCAGCTTCATGCTGGACCGTGGTTCCCGATGGATAAACATATACATGTCATATGATGCACAACTATACGCGACACGTTTCCACTGTTAACTGTGTCGTAGTGTTCGTCACGTTTCTGTGTTGTTCAGATTCTACAATCGTTCTTGTTCTTGCACAAGGCCAATGGCTCAAATTGTTCAGAAGATGCTTGGTTAACTGATGTAAAGTAGGTTGGAGGGGCTGTTGCTGTGGTTTCATTTCCAGACAGCTCGGCGTTCGGTGTTCTGGTGTGACCGGTGCTGTCACCGTTTGACCTGAGGACAAAGTCCGGTTGCGGCATTCGGCAAATGGCTGCTCTGAATACTCCCGACCAGGCGTCCAGAATGCAGTGCAGCATACAAATTGACCCACGGATATTACCTCATTGATATGCAACGCTACGTTGAAGTCAGCTTAACATACCGTTTTGACCCGTCGGCGACATGTGACAGGCAGTAACCGCGTATTCAGGCTAGAAAACATTTATGGCAGAATTGCTGTCTTGTTGCGATGCGTTGTAAAACCCGCGGTCGCGTGAGGATGGCTCAATTCTCATCACTGGGCAACGCTGCCATCGTACTTCAGTCACATATGCTAGTCGTCAACGTCTTTGAGCAAAATGAGGGAAGAGATTGCGCCGGTCTCTTCATTAACGTCTGAAGCGTGCTTTGAACGTCAGCTGGGTCGATGCGCGTCCGACGTGAATGGAGTCCCGGGATTCCTCACGCCTGAGGCAGATCTGCTGGCGTGTGATTTCATTTTCCGAACGATGGCTGCGGAGCACCGGGTCGCCATTGCCGCAACCCACGGTCGGGTGGTACAGCTCGACTTCGCGGTATCTGGCATTGGGACGGTGACGCCTCTGAGAGCGTGCCGGGGGCGAGCGGCACGGCCAGCTTCCGACGGACGTGCTTCCGGCCGAGCGACGTCGGCCAGAGCTTTTCATCGCCCGCGGGTGCCGGCGGACCTTTCATGCGGGAGAGGATTGTCGCCGGCGAGAGGATGGAGTTCGTACGGTCCGACGCGGAGGCTGCCACTTTCTGCTTTGTCGGCGACGCCGTGGCGCGAGTGGAATGGGGCGGCCTGATACGGTTGCGAAGTATACGTTGCAAGAGGGGTCGATTCACCTTTTTCGGGCAGCCTCGCTCTGATCCCACCGCGTGTAGCCCAGTAGTCCCGTGGAGATGTCGAGACAGTCGAGCCGTAGCATTGCTTGGACGAAGGCATGTGCATGCGTTTAGTCATGCCAGATGGGGCAAACACAGATCAGCGCGCCGCAGACGGTTCTGGCGCACCCCGCACGGCTCGCTCGAGCCTCCCTGTAGCACAGCGTGCGCCGATGCAGGCAGTCTCGGTCTGGCGGCGCGGACGCTGCCGACTTGGACTCCATTTTCGCGACGCCCGACATGCCTGGGGCTGGTGATAATTAACGGGAGTGCCGGCCGTGGCCACCGCCCGCCTGCTGGCAAGGCCGTGGGGGCCGTGTCTCAGCTAGCCTTCGGGGAGGCCGAACACCGCGTAGACAGTGGTCGCACGCGAGCTGTCGCCGGACTTGACCCGGCAGGATCCGGGAGCTGACATTCGTGTTCTGTGGAGATGCGACTTTTGTGAATGACCCGGTCGTAAAGTTGGCAGTGGCATGAGGACAGTTTTGTTGTAACTTGGGCCACTGACGTGGCTGGTTGCATGCCATCACGCTATACTCAATACCGGAAGTCTAAATTCTAGGCCAAGTTGCTTGACAGATAATTTTTTGTTGTTCTACTGACGGGGGATGTGCATGACAAATGCCTTTCTGAAAGCCAAAGGTGTGCATGTTAAGTTAATGTTCAGATTTTTGCCGGTGCGACATTACATAAGACACAACCGTAATTAATTCCATGGATTATTTTCGCCATTACGTTATGAGTCAGAAGGGAATATGTAACCTTTCAATAGTACTTCCCATTGTGATTTACCCGGACTGGGGCACGAATGCACGCCGCCGCGTGGATATCTCGTGCCACGTGCCGGAGACCGGTGACCGTACACGGATGGGGAGGACCCCTGACCCCCGCGGTACCTTGTGGGTCTCCTCGTGCCACGGGTCGCAGACTGGAGACGGTACACGGATGGGGAGGACCCCTGACCCCCGCGGTACCTTGTGGGTCTCCTCGTGCCACGGGTCGCAGACTGTAGACGGTACACGGATGGGGAGGACCCCGGACCCCCGCGGTACCTTGTGGGTCTCCTCGTGCCACGGGTCGCAGACTGGAGACGGTACACGGATGGGGAGGACCCCGGACCCCCGCGGCACCCGTCCCCGCGAATTATCAGCTCTGCTGAGCAGCTCTGCGGGCTCTGCTGTGTTGGGAAGGAGCACCCCACAGGCGGGCTTTTCATTAGCTCGAATGCAAATTAATACGGCATTTGAAACCGCGCTGTTCATTATGCCCGGCTGCCAGAGGCACAATTACCGGAAAATAAAGTGGAAAACAATGCACTTGGCACGCGAACGTCAATTATTCCGCGATTTTAGAAGGTAACCGGAAATGTAAACGCGAATGGGTAGGTATCGTTGCCACGACAGGGTAGTGCGGTCCTCGGTTTCGCGAACACTTCACTGGGCCACCATGTGACATCAAATGGCGTAGTTTTGAAGTATAGACATGCCCAGGTGCGTATGCACATAGCCCACGGGGGCACGTGACCCTGAGAACCTATAACGAGAACATACGAAGATCGAGAACATACGACTTTTTTGGACACAAGATATTGCGCTCGCATGCTGCTTGCTAAACTCGTTTTTTGCCATGCCCCATGCTGAAGTCCTGCGTACACCCGTGCATGACTCTGCTGCGTCACGTCCTGAGATGGCGCGGAGGTCAACACGCCCTATTCGAAGCAATGCGCTCACCTTCCCACCCCCGAAAAAGTGAACCCGATCCGCCCTATCGGCGAGGACGAGGCGCTGTCGGCCTCCGCCCTAACTCGACGCTGTCGGTCTCCGCCCTAACTCGGCCGCTGCGAGCAACTTAATCCCCTGGGGAGGTGCCGTCGCGCCGGGACCAGCTGAGCGTGTTCGACACGGGAGCGGCGGCGCTGTGTTCGGCCCGTCTGGCGGCGTCACGCCGGCTGAGCCGGGCGCGGCGCCGGTCGGGTGTCGGAGGCTACCCGGACTGGAGCGGGCCGGCCTGGACGGCGCCGTTCGATTTGGCTGAGTTGTCTGATTTAGTCGGTCGTCCATTGGGGCACTTGCGGCCGCCGCCGACGTTTGGGAAGGCCGCACCAGCCGTCACCACATCCACTTTGTAGGTGGCACGTCCGCTATGTAGTTGGCTCGTCCGCTGTGTAGGTGGTGCGTTCGTTATGTCGGTGACACGTCTACCATGAGGGTAGCACGTTTACTTCGCATGTGGCACGTCTTCTATGTGTGCACGTTCATAATGAAGGGACACGCGCGCTATGCTCGAAGCACATCTACTTGTGGTAACGTTTACTATGCAGTGACACGTCGGTTGCAGGTGGCACGTCCACTACGCAGTGGCCCGTCCACTGAGCAGGTGGCGCTTCTTCGTGGAGGGGGGGGGGGGGGGGGGGGGGGGGGGGCGGCCTGATGTAGAGGCACGTTTGCTATGCAAGGGGCACGTCTATTATACAGAGGCACGTCCACCACGCGGGGGCGCATGCCTACAATGCAGACAGGCACGCCGACTAATCATGCAAGCACATCCGCTTCGCACCGGGATATGTGTAGAGTATCGGCCGGTATGTCCAATATGCGCTCCGCATCGTCCGTGGTGCGTTCGGACACCCCAGGGACGTAGTTCCCGAGCAGTCGGCATATTTGGCTCCTACTGGGGGCGGGGCGGGGCGGGGCGGGGCGGGGCGGGGCGGGGCGGGGCGGGGCGGGGCGGGGCGGGGGGAGGGAGCTGATTCGAATCCCGGTCGCGTTATGGTTACTGAGCACTGTTATGGCTCCCGCAATCGCGTGCGCTCCATAAAAGGGTTCGTGAAGACGCGCGCTGCGTTCCTGAGGCACTCCAACACAAAAAACACGGAGACACTCCAAGACGCGAGCTCTCCGCCCGGAGTGCCCAGCCCGTACCTGGAGACGTGGCTTCCGTCCGTGCGTGAGCACGCTGCCGACGCGACTGCACCGGCTCTGCAGGCCAGCCGCCCTGGCGCTGCAGCTAGTTAGCAGCTGTTATTTCACTTCAGACCTCGCCTGGAAGTGAATTCCCCGCTGTCTTTGAAAGCGCGCCTGCTAGTGCGGTGACGGAGCGGGAGACGTAATTGTGTGGTGAGCCCAAATTTGGGAGAACTAGCCTGTGATTGCATGATTTTGTGGCTGCCATGTGCCGCTGTACACCATGGAGTTGACTACAACGACTCTTTTGAGATAAAATATACTAGTGGCAGGCCGTTGCATAAATGTAGAGGACCATTTTTCGCCCTAACAAGGCTGTCAGCGGGCCAAGGGAACGAATGGGCTTCCGTGGCTATTTCCCAGTAGCGTTATAGATGTCGATGTGCCTGACCATGCGTCTTCCGTTGCAGACATGTTTGAGAACTCGTGGGAAGTGCAGGGCGCGGCGGCAGTGGGTGATGCGCCGGCCGCGTGGGCCGGGTGTCACTCCTGGGGGTCATCTACCAGTCCAGGGGTCAACTGTTATAGGGCTCGGCTGACCCGGCCGGTCGAGCTCCCATTGTTGTGGGTCCCCTTCTGGTTAGTTAGTTCCCTTTACTGGAGTTTGTGACATTAGGTTCGGTCCCGCTTTTGAGGTTCTTCCGATTGGTTTAGTCCCGTGTCTGGAGATATCTGTTAGTGGGTCTGATCCCCCCGCTGGGGTTCTCCGCTGTCTGGCCTTGTCCCGCAGCTGGATTCTCCGCTGTCTGGCCTTGCCCCGCAGCTGGATTCCTTTATTCTCCGCTGTCTGCCCTTGTCTCGCAGCTGTGATTCTCTGCTGGTGGGTCCTAGTCCCTCTGCCAAAGTTACATCTTGAGTGAGTTCGGTTCCGCTTGTCGATATAGTCCTGCCGCTGGAGTGTTCTGCGTCTGTGAGTCTGGTTCATCTGTTGGGGTTCCCCGATCTGGGGTTTGCTTCCTCCGCGGGAGCTCCCCCGGTAGACGTGGTTACATGCCCGCAGGCTCAGCTCCTCTGTTGGTGTTTTCTTTTGGCGAGCTAGCCGCCGCTGCTGGTCGCCTGGACCGCTGCTGGACTCCTCCGGAGCTGACCCGGTGGTCCGCTGCTGGCCTCCTCCGGAGCTGACCCGCTGGTCCGCTGCTGGCCTCCTCCGAAGCTGACCCGCTGGTCCGCTGCTGGACTCCTCCGGAGCTGACCCGCTGGTCCGCCGCTGGACTCCACCGGAGCTGATTCGGTGGTCCGCTGCTGGACTCCACCGGAGCTGACCCGGTTGTCCGCTGCTGGACTCCTCCGGAGCTGACCCAGTGGTCCGCTGCTGGACTCCTCCGCAGCTGACCCGGTGGCCCGGTGTTGTTGGACTCCTCCGCAGCTGACCCGGTGGTCCGCTGCTGGCCTCCTCCGGAGCTGACCCGCTGGTCCGCTGCTGGACTCCTCCGGAGCTGACCCGCTGGTCCGCCGCTGGACTCCACCGGAGCTGACCCGGTGGGCCGCTGCTGGACTCCACCGGAGCTGGCCCGGTTGTCCGCTGCTGGACTCCTCCGGAGCTGACCCAGTGGTCCGCTACTGGACTCCTCCGCAGCTGACCCGGTGGCCCGGTGTTGTTGGACTCCTCCGCAGCTGACCCGGTGGTCCGCTGCTGGACTCCTCCGCAGCTGACCCGGCGGCGCGCCGGCGGGCCCTGGACCGCGCGCCGCCGCTGGAGCTCATCGGTAGGAGGCCGGCCGCGGCGGCCCACAAGCGGCGGCCACCGCGGCTGACCAGGCCGCGCCGACGGACGCCGCTCCCGCAGCCGGCCCGCTGGTGCCGCGTGCGCGCTGAGGCGAACGTGCCGCACGCTATTTGCAGATCGTTAGGTCTTGACACGACCGTATCGTTCCGGGGTCCGGGAGCAATGCGTTTCTCAGGCGCCTTGCTTTCTTATGTCCGTGGTGAGCCGTCGCATGCAGTCGTGGAATACAATTCCGAGAGTCGTATTTGCAATCCGCAGTGCCAGTGTTTCTGCTGATACTGGGCACACGATGGCGGATCCAGAACGTCGTCGGGGGAGGGTGGCGACGCCGGGTTGGGGACCGAAGTTCAAAAGTTTGACGTGTTTTCAAAACACTTCGGACTACTCTTCCTCTTACGTCAAGGGATGCTTTAGAGTGAAGTTTTGTGCTAATAATATGTGGCAAGTATGTTATGAATAGCAACTATTGGAATAATAATAACTATGGAATATATGATTGATGATATATGAATGATCACACACGTAAAATATGTCTCATTAAACGCGATGACGTGCGACAAATATGTAAGTCTCGAATAAGTTTCGACTCACAAAAATTTAGAAGTGACATGATTTAACCTGCCATAGCATGAAATTTCCCCCCATTTTATTGAAAGCCCAAAACTGTATCATGTGACGTCCATTTTCATCCGGGGAGTTGGTGCGATGGCCTGATGGTGGTTGGTTCTCCTGGATCCACCCTCGGGGTTAGAGGCAAGCGAGGTTGATGCCACGTGAATTCGAGTATGTGGCTTCCACGCCTGGATATGGGAATAATGAGCTCTCACTGCTGCACTGCTATGCCCTGCTTTGTAATCGGAGGTCCATGGCGTGACATTCCATAATGTGCGCCATCTTCACCCGTACGGATCTATAAGCTGTACGCGTGGAGCTCCACGACTTTGTGTAGTTCGAAGGAGCTCTGCGCCCTAACACCAGCGGGGTGTTGCCCGGGTTCGAAGGAGCTCTGCGCCTTAACACCAGCGGGGTGTTGCCTGGGTTCGAAGGAGCTCTGCGCCCTAACAGCAGCGGGGTGTTGCCCGGGTTCGAAGGAGCTCTGCGACCTAACACGAGCGGGGTGTTGCCCGAGTTCGAAGGAGCTCTGCGCCCTAACACCAGCGGGGTGTTGCCCGGGTTCGAAGGAACTCTGCGCCCTAACACCAGCGGGATGTTGCCCGGGTTCGAAGGAACTCTGCGCCCTAACACCAGCGCGATGTTGCCCGGGTTCGAAGGAACTCTGCGCCCTAACACCAGCGGGATGTTGCCCGGGTTCGAAGGAACTCTGCGCCCTAACACCAGCGGGGTTTTGCCCGGCCGGCTCGCGGTCTGTTTGATTAGCGTCTGGCAGCTTCGAGCCGACATCCGGGCCATGCCCCGCCGCCGCCCAACGGTAAACACGCTAATGTCGGCTAATCTGCTGTAAGCTAGCGAATGGTGCTGAATTTAATATAATGCTCTTGGGTCATACCAGCTCGCGAGGGGCCAGGCGTGACTAACTGGAGCAAGAGGCGACGAGCGGCGGAACGCTCGTCACCGCCGTACTTCGATGGTGGTGCGGATCCACCTGTTGTGGCGTATCCCCGCTGAGTCGTCCCGTCCCGTCCCGTCCCGTCCCGCCCGCCCCGCCCCGCCCCGCCCCGCCCCGCCCCGCCCCGCCCCGCCCCGCCCCGCCCCGCCCCCGCCCCGCCCCGCCCCGCCCCGCCCGCCCCACCCCGCCCCGTCCCGCCCCGTCCCGTCCCGTCCCGTCCCGTCCCGTCCCGTCCCGTCCCGGCCCGGCCCGGCCCGGCCCGGCCCGTCCCGTCCCGTCCCGGCCCGTCCCGGCTCGTCCCTTCCCGCTCGCGCTGACGCCGTCCGCCCACCGTCGGCAGGAGTGCACCAACATCTTCTCGTCGGGCGGTGGCGAGGCGCTGTCGTCGGTGGCGGGCGTGCCGTTCTTGGGGCGGCTGCCGCTGGAGCCGCGGCTAGCTGCCGCACTGGACGCCGGCCGGCCGCTGACCGAGGCGGCCGCCGACTCGCCGACCGCCACCGCGCTCGCCGGCATCGTGCAGGCGCTGTTGGCCGCCGCGCGGTGATGTCCTTCCGGCGCTCTCTGGTCCGCGCGCGAGGAGCGATGCTCTGACTCCCGACGCCCTGCGGAGGGTGCGGTGCGCCAGACTGAGCGTCTTGGCAGCGTGTCGGCGCCTGGTGCAGTCTCTAGCCGGACACCAGTCCCTGACCGGGATGGACTGCTCTGAGAGCGCTGACGTCAGCTGTAAGTGTAAGCCATAAGTCAGCCGTCAGCTACATTAGGACGAACAGTGAGTGCCGACCATGTGATAGCCGTCCTTGTTATGGATGAACTTGGGGTTTCCGGGTATGTCTTTGCGTTGGATGTGCTGTCGAGCTTTTGCTGATGTGTATGCATGATGTGGCAATGAATACAATAGGAACTTCTGTGGCGGATTTCTGCGTCGACACGAGGCCGGCCACGCAGCCGACTGGCTCCTGCTGTCTTCTGGCCCTGGCCGTGGAGCAGGTCGACGGCGGCGAGTCCTGCTCCGCCGACGACCCTGCTCCTCCACAGCCGAGCGGCGGCCGCCGGAGACGGGGCCTTCACCTGCCGGGCCGGCCGGGCGGCCGCACCGACCGCCGGGGACGGGGCCTTCACCTGCCGGGCCGGCCGGACGGCCGTACCGACCGCCGCCTTGATGGCGCGACGCACCGGCGCAACCGACCGTCAGAAACTCCAGGACTGGCCCCCTCGAGACGGGGTCGGAACAAATCGGCTGTCACGCGACCGCGTGCGTGTTAAACGGCGCTTGTATTATGGGGGAGCGGCATGGGAGACGCTGTTAAAACGCATGGGACTTGCATGGACGGTAGACATGGAAGTTGCAGGAGTATTGACTTGAGCGCACTAAGACCCATCATTCTCAGGAGAATTGTTCTGCGCCCGCAGCTGGTATGCATCCAGTTATCCGCGCCAGGTTTTACGGAACGGAAACATCGTTGAGTCTGCCGGAGAGGAAGATAGATTGCCCGTTCTGTGGCCGTTCCTGGGCCCGCTCAGTGTCTGAAATGGATACGCATGTGCGCCGTAAAAATTCCCACGAGGAACGAGGCGGGTCTGCCGCAGTTAATGTGAGCTCGATTTCTCGCTGCCAGGCTCCATTTGCGGGGCGCCAGACGGGCGCTTAAGTGTAGCCGTTGAACGCCGTGGAGGCGGTGTGCTCCGGGCTTTTGCCGGGAAGGAATGGCCGACGGGAACGAGTAAAACTACATTTTGTTTTGTTGCTTGGTCGGACAATCCGACAAGACACTGAAAAGAGCGACGCTTTACGCGGCTCAGACCGGGCTTTAATGTGTGCGGTGCTGACCGCAGCACTGTGTCCGCACCGCGACGCAAAAGCTAATACAAACGTCGATATTCTTTTGAAAAATGTTGCCGCTGCTCTCCGTGTCAAGAATGAGACCATCGACCGATTCCACTAACCTTATGACAATCTGTATCGGGGACATAGCATCACTGCCGCACACACCCAACTGCGCATCTGGCTGTGAGGTGTAACTTTATTATTTGGTATGTGCCTGACAGCCTGTTGCATAAGTAGAACAGATGAACCGATACTATAGGACACGCGATCCCTTGAGCATTTCGAACAATCCAGTTACAAGCTCAAAGCAAGTTGCGAAGCATCGGTACTTACGGATTTAGTGCCCACAAAACTCATGACCACGGCAATGGCTCAGCTGGGTCGAATGCACTTTGCGCGATACATACCGCCCCATCCATCAGCGGGGATCATCCATCAACACCTTTCAACAGACAGCGTCTCATTTACTTTCGAACCACGGAGCTGAAGGAAGATCAATTTGCAGCGCTGACAGCGCCGGGTAGCAAGTGCTCAGTCGGAACGCGCCGGCGCGCCGTTGATTCCACGGCGGACGTGTGGCCGACTCCACTTCGGCATGGCCACTTTACCTGGCGACGTGCCTCGCATTACGTTCGATCCGACTCGAACCGAAACGCCGCGCAAGGCCAAGTGGGCCCCTTCCACGCAAAAATATGGGTGTGAAGTCCGGACTTGGTGGACATCTCCTTCGGAAAGTTAATTATGTACATAGCTCGGAAACTTCGAGTTGCGGCAGATAATGAGCTAAGCATATCATGCCTTACTTGTGGCATTTACGGACCGGGCATTTGCGGATATTTCATGGGGCATTTACCCACTACTTTTCCTGGAAGTTTGTGTGCCGAGGATTCAAGAGAATTAAATCGTCGCTTACAGTACAACGCCGCCGCCATCAACAATCAGATTCGAAGAAAGATGGACAAAGGCTGCCGACCAGAGAGGCCGCTAGAGGTCGCGGTCGGGGTCGGACGGGACCGCCGACCAGAGAGCCTGCTAGAGATCGCGGTCGGGGTCGGATGGGACCGCCGACCAGAGAGCGTGCTAGAGGTCGCGGTCGGGGTCGGACGGGACCGCCGACCAGAGAGCCTGCTAGGGGTCGCGGTCGGGGTAAGACGGGGCCGCCGACCAGAGAGCCTGCTAGAGGCCGCGGTCGGGGTCGGACGGGACCGCCGACCAGAGAATCCGCTGGAGGTCGCGTTCGGGGTCGGATGGGACCGCCGACCAGAGAACCTGCTGGAGGTCGCGGCCGGGGTGGGATAGGGCCCCCGACCAGAAAGTTCACTGGATGTCGCGGTCGGGGTCAGACGGGCCGCCGACCAGAAAATCCGTTGGAGGTCGCGGTCGGAGTCGGACGGGCGCGAGGTCGCTCCACCGCAGAGTGCCCTTCCGTCTGTGGTTCGAACACCGGTGACGGAAATGTGTGCTTAGGACTCCACTGGCTGCCTCCTGCCCCCATTCAGACTGTGTTGGTAGGGTGTGCAGTAATTGCAGTGACTTTAGTCACTTGCAGCGTGAACCTAATGCGTGCTCGAAATAAGTGAGCTGGGTGTGCTGCACCAAAGGCAACTGACGGTTCGGTGAGCGAGACGCTTCAGACCGTGCGAGTCGCGAGCGGCATCAGCTTACTATATGAGATGCCGTGGGGGAAAATACACAGCAACAGAACGCAGTACGATCCAAGACGTCAAAGAAACACCGGAGAATCCTTCGGCGAAGCTCGTGTTCCTGCAAGGGGTGACCTTGAATTCGCGCGCAGAGTGGCGGGCAGCTTGGGGGGGGGGGGGGGGGGCGGCCACGCAGAGCGCTGACTTTGACCCGGCCCCGACACGGCGCGCCGATCAGCTAGTCGGAGCCGCTGACCAGGATGACCCACGAGCGTCTATAGGAAAGTACCTCTCAATGCCTGATGTGTTCCCGAGAGCTGATGTGGTAGATCAGAGAAAACATTCGTGAGACGCCTTGCACCGAAGACGTCAGCGTGATTACAATTGGAGTGGGGGATATGATCCAGGTCGAAATGTCACACAACAAGGAAGTTGTTAAAATGCAGGTGAAATCTGCGGTAGAATCTGCAACGGACTGCCTGCAACAGCGAATCCAGGCTATAGGGGAGCGCGTGGAAAAAAGGATGGGAACACGACCAGTCACGTGATGTTGTGCTTTCGCGTTCGAAAAATCCGCAGTTTTGTCGTCAAGTTTACAGGACATGAAGCGGACACCGTTCGTGACGATATCTACCAGGGCCGCTTCGTGTTGAAGGTTAAGAGAGGGCTGCAGAAGCACCTCTTCGTCAACGAATCTCTCACTACCCGGAGTCAGATCTGTCTGCAGGAGCTGCTGAAGGCGATGAAGAGGGGGCCACCCACTCGGTGCAAACTCGCGATGGCGCGGCGTGCTCCCGTCCGACGGCTCCCAGCGCAGCCGCCAGGGTGGGCAATCCGCGTCAGCTGCGTGGCTACAGAGAGGGGACATCGTCCCCGTGCTAATCAGGTGTGTCCCATTGCCTACTGCAATGTGCAAATCAGTCAAACCCACGGTGAAGGTGGACGGTGATCTAAAAAGCCGGGTGGGGTGGGGAGAGGATTAAGAAATCCGCGGCTGGGTGCATCTCGTTTATATATTTTTATTTTGTGGTTTTCGCAGGTCGGTGACAACGATTTTCTTTGCGTTAAACTGTGAAAGGGCGCTGATCTAACTGCTGCGTCGAAGGCTGTGATGCATTCATGTTTGCGAGCGCGGTATGATGAGTTAGGCTCGTTTGCCTCAGTATGTGCAGCGGTTGTTGATCTGATGGTGATAAATGGGAGCGGCGGTGACCTCTTGCCCGCACAATGGCCGTGTACCTGCAAGACAGCACCCCTGAAAAGCATCCTTGCCGTTTCTACAACGCGGAACTCACGAGAAAAATGTCGGTGGAGACCTCGGTGACCTTAGTGCACTGCCACGACACAAGAAGGCGTCATGTGCTCGAAGCGGCATATATTAGGAGACAAGGGCCGTCCATCAATCGGTAGATGTAATTTTAGTTCTGCTCTTTCGGTGTACTCTAACCCGCTCTTTCTGTTGAATTTAACATGTGTTTCGTAATTGGTAGGGTTCTTTTTTATCAACGTGAAACATGACCTGAAGAAATGTGTATGAATACAGAAACTTTGCGACAGATTATTATATGGGAGTTTTTTTTACATGACTGCTATTTTATGTTTGTTATTACATTTATTACATTCATTCTTTCACGTATTTTCATCTTGAATTAACATTACAAGTCAGTTAACTGCGCCCATGCTATTGAGTTAAAGAGAGGTATATATATATATATATATATATATATATATATATATATATATTGTGTGCCAACCTAACTTATATGAGGTGTGCATTTGAATAAAAGGCCAAGACCTGTGGGGCAGCGCCGTCTTAAGTCAAGTACGAAACTTGGGCAGCCAAACGTATTTACTTCTCGCCTGAGAACTCTTATTGTCGACCATTATTGCATTTTTCTTAGCTTGCGACCACGCTTCGTTAGCCTTCAATGTGTGCTGCAGCTCTCCAGCTTTTTCGCTCTTGGGCTAGTGTTTTGCATAACAAAAG